CTTCCTATATGTGTAAACTAATGGCTTAAGGTTGTAATTTTGGTAGTTTTATGAGAAAGTTTCATGGTTAAAGTAGTGTTGTGGTAATTTTCATTTTTTATGGTAATTTTCTGCCCACATATGATGCTTGAGGGTTGTCCATGTTTTGATAGGTTTGCTATGTGAAATATTGAGGTTTTATAGGCTAGTTTAACTTGCCTAAAGAAATTTCCAGCTTATGTGCATAAATTTTAGTTTAGGGTTTCCAATTTGGGATTGATTGTGGTTGGTTTTGGAGCCGCTAAAATTAAAGGGTGTTGTGACCCTAATTAAGTGTGTTTAATAGCTTATGATTTGTATGTGCAATTGAGGCTATTTTGGGTGAACTTTGGTATTGATTGTAGGATGGAAAAGTAAAGAAATTAAGAGGAGATGCTGCTGAAAATTTGTCTGCAGGAACCCTTGGACAATCTTAGGAAATCTGCTATATCTTGTTGTAGAAAAGTCAGAATTTATTTCCGTTTATTGTGTTTGAAACTAGAGTCAGAATACTATCAACTATGAAAATGTCAGCCTTTTCTCAATTCCCATGAATATCTGTGATTTTTCAAAGTTGACCGAAGTTGCATACTTGTTCTGTCTTTTACTGGATGAAGTAACAACTTGAGACTCGAATTTGACTGACTTATGGATTGAATCAGCTTTGAGACAAAACATAAAAGTTATAAGGGTTTGAGTTAAATTTCTACCTGCAAAATTTCAGATTAATTAGATCATTTTAGCTTATGATTTGGCCAGAGCACCCCTGATTGCCCAAATACCCTGTTTAACCGACAGTTTTCTGTTTTGTCTGAGATTTCAATTTTTGACCATGAAAATGCATGATTTGACTTTGAAGGTCTTCATAATAAATGTAGGCCTATATCTTAGTTTCGAAAGTCCATAAGATTCATCTCAATCCGATAAGTGTAGCTTCAGTTGTGATAAAAAAACCAAAGGATGGCAGAGTTGCCATCTTCATTGTTTCTCGTTGCCTTTCTCTTGTTTTCCGTTTCCTTGGCCCGACTTAACATGTACTTCTCAAGTGTTCTAAACCTGATTTCTAACATTCTAAACGAGTATTCAAAACATGGTTTTTAGTTGCACATATTGGCTTTGAACTTAACCGTTTTTTATCATTTTTTGTTACAAATATTGCGTGTACCATGCCTATATAACTTACTATACTTTTCATACTTTTTTCCTTTGATATAGAAATATAAGTTATGCAGCTTGCACTTGTGTGTGATTGCCTTTTTGTGGACAATATTTGATTGCAAATTTCGAGAGTGGCAAGGTGCCGGCCCTGAACTGAATTTTGATAAAACGTGACTTGTTTAGGGTGAGTGTTCCTTGTGTGTTTGTATAATAAATGACTATGTGACTATTTGTGAATGTTTGCTTAAATGTTAAATGTTTTTCAATGATTGTTAAATGAATTTTCGACGGACGAGTGTGTACTTTATCGCACTCGACCCAAGCAAAAGTGAATTTTCAATGATTGAATACTACTTGTGCATGAATGTAAACCTTTTGGTTGAACTGGGCCCTTGCCCTTCGTTGCCAATCAACTTGAGCCAGAAGTGGACTCGGTCGGGTAGCTGGTGACCCTGAGACAATGTTTGGTATACTCGAGTATGACTACGAAAGTTGGTGGAGAACTGGCCAGTGAATTGGCTAGTGGCGGGAAATGAAATGAATAAATTGAAATGTTGAAGTTAGAAGGAAAGAAATGAATGATTGAATGAAGGAGAATGACTGCGGAATGAACGAATGGCTCCACGTGAGCATGTATCCTTTTAATGAGTGTGTTTTCATTATTTTATATTGTGAATGTTTTCTCGATTGATTGTTGTTAAATAAATAATATCCTAGTTTCAATTGCTTGGTTATGTGTATAGAAACCTCACTGAGCTTTAGCTCACCCTTCTATTTCGTTAAATTTGTTTTCTTTATAGGGTTTGAGAGTAAGGACGAGTGCTTAGTGGAAGACTAAACTTTTCACTAGAACTTTTGTTGTGTAATAGTGATAGTATTAGTAGTTTGGTTGGATCCTGAACTTTTGTACTTAACCTTGAGGATTGAATATCTATATTAATGATTGTATATATGTTAAATTTGATTAGCATAGCTTTACTTGCTCTGAAGTGATAAGTGAGTGAGCCCCAACGAGAGCTGAGCAGGTGGTCCGCCGAATCCTTTGATTCGCCTTAGGGAGAGGTGGGGTGGTCACACAATCCACATAAATTCAACCAGATGCACCTAATTCATTTTATAGCCCCACATTCATTCAGCAACTGCAAAATCATTGCCAAAAGCCAACCCCTTTTATTTCTCTTTCTCTTTCTCATTTTTCAAACCATGTAGATACCAGATACCAAAACAAATGAAACTAGACATGTATTAAACCCATGTCAATGAGAACCTAATATAGAATCATTTTTAACACTCTGAGACACATATAACCACTCCGCTTTCATCATATTCACAATCATGGTTTCAAATTTTTGCATTGCAGCCTTTGTCCTAGAATCATACAATCCAACCATGTCAATGCAATGTGCTGGCAAATGAAAGCTATCACTCAAATGGACTTTCATTTACTAAGCATGAATTTGCCTAACCTTGAAATGTCCATTGTCTTTTTTAAAAGCTAATGCCTGGAACAAATTCGAAGCAAACTGGAAAAGCACTACAAATTCAAGGAAGAAAAAGAACAAACTATAAAACCACTGAAAATTCAGCTAAGAAAAAGTGACAGACCACAAGTATTTCGCTTGAGGCAATGCTTTGTGATGCCTTGGAATGATGCAACTGTATTTGCCTGAGGCCTTCTTTCTCCGACAATGTTTGGCGTGTAAGAAGTTGCTTACTTGATAACTATTTAGAAAAAAATTAATAGGATCAGCCTCCATGTTGTGAAATTTGTCTTAAACTAGCTAATTAACAGGGATGAGTAAAAGTAAACTTGATTTATGCATGTGATCTTTACCTCCATTGATGATATAACCATGCTATGCTGATCAAGGAGGTCAGTCAATTTAAAGCAATAGTCCCCATAATCAATAGCATTTACGAGAGCTATATTGGAAAGCCTTTCACGTTTTTAAGTGTCCTGATACAAAAGTAAAATTTAAAGTATAGCAACTCAGAGACGATGCTGTGGGAAGAATTTTGGCTCAGCTCTAGAAAAGAACGTGAACTAACAAATGATTTTTCTGTAAACTCAATCCAACCTTCTCATTTGATTTCAAGAGATTTATGGACCTCGAAATTTGTGTTATAAGATGATTAGACTTGGTTACCAAGAAAATTTCGAATAACTACTTGCTATCAATTATGCTAGATTTAGAATCTAGGAGAAAGAAATAGACAGTCTTGTATAAAGCATAAGAGCGGTATTAATTACTTAGTAACCCCTTACTATCAGATTGATAGTATGTGATGCAATAGCAATGAGTTTTTTCCCCGTTTAGATACATAAATGAGATAGGAAATTAATCAAAACCCATTAGTTTTGATAGTAACCCAAATCTAAGCAGCAGCTTTCTTTGGAGACTTGGGTTGCTTAGTCTCTTTCTCCTCTGAATCATTAGTTTTCTTAGGCAACAAAACGGGCTGTTTCCCCTGCATTTTCATCACCAATCGTTGGAAGGTCTTGGCCCAATTGCAGTTGATTAGGAGGCTCTATCCTCTCAGTATTCCAAGCAAGCCAAGAGGGTCTTCACGCTCCAATTACATGAAGGCAGTGGACCTCGATTTCTCTTTCTTGCCCACCGGTTGATTTTTCCCTTTTTTGCTTCCCTTTTCCTTTCCTTCCTTCCGTCCTTCAACTAACACCACCGACAAATGGCCATCGTCATATCTAATTTTGCTATTCATGTTTCTATTGAATTTGGGATTAATTTGAAGTTGATAATAGAGCCACTATGGGATTGATATATTGGAGGCTTTTGGTGTTAGGTTGGGATCATTGATTGAGAATTTTTTGTTAATATTTTGAGACTATTAGATTGAGAATTTTTGTTGTTATTTTGCGCTCTATCTAATTGGAAATTTTTTGGAGTTATTTGGGATCATTGAGCATTGAAATCAGTGATGATTGGTGGTAGAGTTGCTGGTGATTGGTGGCGATGATGGAGCTACTGGCGATCGGTGGCGATAATGATTATGATTGGTGTTCACCAGTGTCATTGACCATTTTGGTATTGTTGACCAGTTTGGTTGTGAGCAGGGAAGAAATGGAGAAGGAAAATAAACAAAAAAAAAAAAGGAAAGGAAATAAAAAAGGAAATGACAAAAAACTGCCAAATACTGAATTGTCTTAACAATGTCACTTGAAACTTTCTTAAAACACGAATGTATCTCAAACTCCGTTATTTTGGATGCTTTTCATCAAAGTTTCAAAGAAATCCAATGTATAGGGAGGCTGTGGGAGTTTTTAAATAATGAAGAGATTTTATATACAATAGATAAATCATAGGAGAGTTGACTGTATTTTATCCAAAAAAACAAAGATGCATAATTTCCTGACTATCAAGATAAAGTCTACTTCTCAACATAATTTGTTAAATTCTATAGGACTCGTGTTAGCTAAGCAGCACCATATACATTTTAACAGTTGCAAAGAAGTTTATTTTCAGTCTAAAAATTCCGGCTTCAAAGTCACACTCGTAAACATCAAAGAAAACTATCTCAATAATGCCCGCAAAAAGGAGAACAAAAAAAAAAAAAAAAAACCACCTGCCATACTTGCTATATAGATTCTCAATTGCTACAGGAAAGCACCTACACGGATTTCCTTTTCAACAGTTCAAATTTCCAAAAACTTTCCAATTGCCACCAATCCATAACCCCCCAAAATTGCAAGAATCAGCAGAGAAAAATAAAGAATCTAAAGAGGTTCACTTTCAACTACAAATTTCTTCACAAAAAAAAAAAACTCTAAAAAGGATACCAGCCAAAGGTAAAAAAAAAGGAACTAGTAATGAATATGTCAATGAATTAGAAGAGTTTCTCTGCCTGTATAGGTTGGGAAAAATTATTTACAACTGCCAACAATTTCTAACGACTATTCAAATCAAAACCCTTTTTTCTTTAAACAAAAAACAGCCAGAAGAACACACAAGATTTGCGTTCAAAACCTAGAAAGGTATACATAATTCTGCATAGAATCATGTAGAATTATGAAGATTCCTGGGCAATGATTAGAAATTAAGAATTACTTGGAGAATTGAAACTAGCTCGGTGATGTCTGGACCCTTCAATTTATGCACAAAGACCTGAAAATGAAGATAGATTGACATTAAAATCTTCAAAATCGATGCCATTATTAATCGGAATTGATAAATGATGGAGGAATTTGAGATTAAACCATAGATAGAGATTAAATCAAGCCTTCTTTGTTTTTCCGCAAAAGCAGAGATAACGGGGGAGAAACACAATTGAATTGGGAGATAGATTGAGCTCTTTCGATTGTAAGAAGAGAAAGAGGCAGGGTTTTGAGAGGAAAAATGGAAGAGGCAATGAAAGGAGGGAGGAAGGGAAAGAGAAAATGGAAAATTTGCAGGAATATATACCGGAAGACAAGTAATTTATGCTCAAGAAATTTTATTTACCTGCAGGAAATATTAATTTATAGCCCCGACGGGTTCGTTTTATGGTCAATCAGATAACGATCTTTAGATCTTGGTTTCCCATGTCCATCTGCACTTGCTGAATTTGTCTCACAGAACTTATGATGAAAGGGCAAAATTGCACCTCAATCATTTCAATGGCAGGACTTTCCCCTAAACAAAGAGGAACCTCTTCTAGCCGCCAACACTTAAACAAAACCAATTTCTCAAGACGAGAAAAATTATCAGAATTATAGGCAGTCCAACTGCGAAGACTCGCGATTGACAATTTCAGGAATCGCAGGTTAGAGAATTCCCCGTCATGCATTTCCCATTTTGCCTCCTCGAAGGATCGATAGGATAATTTAAGCACTTCAAGATTGGGCAGCTTTCCAATTCTTGAAATTTCACTCGACGGACATTCATTGCCTGAGAGAGTGAGCTTTTTCAAGTTCGTTGGGAATTCAAACTTGCAGCCGCCAAAGAGATGCAGTTTAAGTGTTTCTAGTCGACTCAAACTGTCCAGCTTGAGAATCTGACTGCGATTTCCAAGACATAAAGTGTTCACGCATTTCAGCTTGCGGATGCTTGGTAATTTTTGTAGTTTATTCTGCAAGCGTCCACCATAACTGTCAATTGCGAGGCTGAAAGTGTCTAAATGATCTAGATCCGGGGAGTCTTCAACGTCGACAGTGGGTAAAATAAAACCAAGCTGCAAGTACCCTGTTATCTCTAGATGTCTTAGTGTCTTAACGTTCCAGATAGTATTAGGCAACGCAACATGATGACAGTCTCCTTTCACCAGAAATGTCTGTAACCTTGAGAGGTTGTCTATTGCAGATGGGATGGATACAATCTTGAACAAGTTAACCGCCAAGTATCTTAAGTGAACAAGCAATAATAATTCCATTGGAAAATTGCCATCAAAATATATGTCCCCAAAATCTAAAACTCTAAGAAGTTTTGATTTAGGAAACAAATCGGACCCTTCACGCGGCTCTTTTAAACTCCAAGAAGCAGAGCGAAAGAAGAGCAAACTGCGCAATTCGGGAAAAACTACCCTTGATTTCTTAAGCTCCTGTGACTTTGTCAAATATACGCACAGTCGGTGGGGGCACGGTCCAGTAAAAGTAGAGAAGTCATTACCTCCAGGTAAAATCTGTAGAAAACTTTCTTCTTTGGCCTTTGCCACACAAAACTCATGCACCAAATCATGAAGTCGGCAAGTTTTGGCACCAGCTAGACTGCTTTGTTTGGTAACCATGACTAAACTTCTACCAATCAAATCCTTCAAGAAGCCTTCTGCCACATCCTCTAAACTCTTCCCTTCTGTCTTTTGGATAAATCCTTCAGAAATCCAAAGCCATGACAACCTTCGGATAGGAATATCTTGGTCTTCTCGGAATGTGCCGAAGTAAAGAAGGCATGGTTTCAAATTTTCGGGTAAATGGATGTAACTCAGCTCCAATGGTCCAGTGTTATTAGAAGTGCCGGAACTGAGGCTGTTCACAAATTCTTGCCAGCAATCAGGCTCAATTCTTGAAAGAATTCCAGCAAAAATGAGAACTGTGTGAGGTAGACCCTTGCACTTATTTGCGACTTGCATTAAAACTTTGATTATTGCTGGAGGACAATCTCCTTTGCCAAATATCTTCCTATGAAGCAACTCAAAACACTCTACATCGGTAAGTTGGCGGAGATGATATGGCTCACTATTAGGTTTAAATTGCCAAGACAAATTCTGAAGCCTGCTGGTGAAGAGAATCCTACTTCCATTGGCATTATCTGGTAGTGAAGTTTTCAGCAAATTCCATGCATCAATGTCCCACACATCATCCATAACAATGAGATATATATTTCTCAACAAAATCTTCTTTAGCTCTTCAGCCAAATCATCTTCATCCTCCTCCAGACATTGGTCAGGACTTCTACCACCAATACTAGACAAAATCTGAACTAACAAATTGTGCTTGCAATATACTTGGGAAACAGTACACCAAGCACGAATATGGAAGTGGCCTAAAATTGAACTGTGATGGTAAACTGCGTTTGCTAATGTTGTCTTACCAAGTCCAGCCATACCCACAATTGAAACAATATCCAGCTGCTTTGAACCCCTAGTAAGTTTATCTGTAATTGTCTTTACCGCTTCATCAAGACCCACCAGAACTTCATTCAGTGTTGGGGTAATGAATTGTGATTTGAAGTGAATAGAGTTGCTGGCAATTCTCTGAACTTCATCATCATTCTTAATGCTATCAGTGATTTTAAGGGCCTCAATCTTCATATGCTTGATATCTCCAGCTACGGTATCTAAACATTCAAGTCTATCCCCAAGCGCAATAGAGTCGATGATTAACTCTGCCTTGTAGGCCACCTCCATAGCACGGTCCCAAAGAGCTTGGATTTTTCCATGCTGGTTGCGCTGCTTCACAATTTTCCTTAGGAGAGATCTTAGAAATATAATATCTTCTTGGATTCCTTGGATTTGATCCACTGGGAAAGCAATTGAACCAGCCTCAGAAGTTGCTAGTTCTCGGAGATTCTCTAAGAAGAAATCAAGCGAGCCTAGCTCGTTGGTCCTAGGGAAACTTAGTGATGATGATGGTGGTGGATGAGTTTGTGCAACTTCTTGAATCACAATTTGGAGCTCTTTCACCAAATGAGAAATTGCACGATTTGTTCCCTCTGCCAAGCCATGTTTTATTTCATTCACTGAAAAGGAGCAAATTACAATTCCTAAATCAATGATCACAACGCCAATATGATCCTTCATTTTGTCAGGTAGCGCATATAAATTCTCTTGCTTCACATGGAGAAGGATACTGATTGACTTGACTCCCTCGTAGAGTTTCAGCATATGATCCCGCACAGGGACCGTAAAAGTGGCATGACGTTCTAGTATCTGTCTAAGAGCAGCAAGGAGAGAATCAACAAATTCCTCCACTATATACTTGTTCATCTCCAGCGAAAAATTGAGTGGTGACCTTGATGGTACTTTTGAAGCTTTCTGCAGAGCATTCATAACAAAAGTGGGTGGTGACCTTGATATTACTTTTGAAGCTTTCAGCAAAGCATTCATAGCATAAGTGAGTGGTGACCTTGATAGTACTTTTGTAGCTTTCAGCAAAGTTTTCATGATGCGTGCAGAAGTTGCATGAAATTGGGGATCAACAAGCTCAAGCTTGCGTTGCAGTTTAGAAATTCTAATTTGGGTGTTATTGAACACCATTCCATCAATATAAACAGACCAATAAATTTTTCTCAGGCATTCTGCATTTACGGCCAGCAATGTATAATGAGTCAAGAGATCTATCAGTTGCATCCTGTCAACACCTTGCATTGTGGCAATGTGAAGTAGATTCTTTGAGAACATTAGCTTCTGTAGAAGGTCTTCAGTTAGGTAACTTATATCTTGATCAAGTCTTGCTCTCAATTTAACATAATCCCTCAGGCCCTTGACGATGGAATAAGTGCTGTTGTCTCCAATATCTGGCAGTGGCAATACCAGTGCGTATCTGTTTAATATCCGGTGCAACTCCTCAATATCCATATCGAAGAACCACTCATTGCTGAGCGCTGAGACTAATTGACGGAATTCCATAGGTAGTCCGAGGAAATGATTAATAACCTCGTTCCAAACTCCTGAATAACCTGCAAGAAAAGCAGAGGATAATTTTTAAAGAAATTCACATGAACTTTTGTCAAAACGGCTACTTGTATTAATAAAAATGATAATTACATCAAAAGTTTGGGCTGAGCAAATGCTCGGAGAGTTCATACAACCTGTGGATCACCACACACGATGAAATCCTTCCATTCTACATCCTGAAGTCCATTCAATGCATATAAACCAAAATCCTTTCAGCTTTCTCTATATTATAAACCAAAATTCTTTCTCCTTTCATAAATAGCATTTTTTTTCCCTTCAATATTGGATAAATATAATGATTTGCCAAATCACAATAGCACAAACCATGAATGATTGTGAACAGATAAAGAAACACAGAATGATAATAGCACATACCTGTTTGACGAGCAATCTTTTATGCACTTTAAGGGCAGAGACTGAGTGTAGAAGCTGTGGCCAACAGCAAGAGCTTCTCCTTGCACCTCCCTACCAGCCGCCTCACGAGTATAAAATCCAGCAAATTGATCGAATTGAATTAGACTATTAAGAGACTTATCAAATATCCAGCGTCCGTGCCAGACATCTAAAATTGCTACAGAAAAATTATAACTGCTAGTGCTACTAGGCAAGTCTCCGTTTCCTTGCCAAAAGATACTACTACTAGTAGTAAGCCTGGAGAGTTGTTTTACCGAACGCTTTGCTTTGCTGGAATTGGTTGGATTTTTGGGTCAGAATAATATCGCGTCCTTCAACAAGAAAGCGCGGCTGAAATATTAAATCTATGCATCCACGCGTTATTCCCTCGTTGGCCAGAGTGAGCTGCAATATGTTGTCTACTAATCTAGCCAGGAAATGGGGCAGGAACGGTCCCGAAGGCTCACATCCTAAAAAATTTGTGCGGCTCAGATTACAGCATGTAACTCGATTTTCATGTCATGTGTAGGGCCCATAAAAAAGTGTTGTAGAATTACGTCGTGTGCAAAGTAAGTTACATCGTATGCAATGGAAGTTACGTACAGTGAAAAATGAATACAACCGGTACAAATGGTTGCACCCCTTGTCCATCTAGCCAAGGCCTCTCCATTTGAGGTTTCATCCAATTTCTTCCAGTATAAACTAGTAATATATCTTTTGTGTAACTAGCATTTGACCCGTGCATAGCATGGGTTAACATTTTGAAAGTAAAATAATAATATTATTTTATTAAAAAAGTTATATGAAAAGAAAATTTTAAAATGAATAAAAGAGTTTCATATTAATGTAAATTTCTTCCAAAATATCTTGTGTTAAAAATCCAAAACAGATTGAAATATTCTCAAAAATGCACAAAAGTACCTTAAGAAATACCCAAGGTTAAAGCATACTAAACAAATATATAATCTCATCTCTCTAACTTCTCCCCATTCTTACCATTTTCTCCATCCTATGATACTACTTATAATCGCCTCTTATACCACCATTTCTTCATCCAGTACTCAGTAGCCCAACCTTCACTATAACAATCCTTTCCACCTTGTAAATCTTACCTTTTTTTATCCTTGACAGCCTAATAGCCTCCTTTCCTACACATTATCATAGTTTTATTCATCTCTTATTCTATCACTCTTTTCTTCGATTATTTTACATTATTCCTCCCATTCTATAGCTAAAATTTCGCCTCGACCACAGTTTGCCCTTTCCTAACCCTATGGTCCCACGTTTCATGTTTTCACTGTTCACAATTTGTTTTCTCATTTTTCAAGCATTTTTTTTTACCAATCAAAACATTGGAATTATGGTATTGGAGGAAAACTGAATTTGGAGTATAAATTTTGTGAAATTTTATTGGCTTTGATGTTTTTCTATGAACAAACATTTGGAAATGGCTTTTAGATAAATATTTGCAGTAAAAAATATTTAAAAAAATACTTCCAAAAAATAACCATTAAAGCACACATTTATTTATTTATATCCATATGTGCATTGTTGTTTATACATCCTTCTTAATATACTTGTGTTATTAGAAAAAAATATTATGATATTTATAATAAGTTTAAGTTAAGTGCAATCGGATAACGTGCTTGAGAACATATTCAATTTGATCAAAATTAAAAATGCCTTTGTTTCCAGATAAGATGATAGAGTCTCGTTTGGTCATGTTCGGAGTCCACATTCAGTTTTGCTAATTTCTTTATTGTTGTCAATAGGCAAAGTGCATAAGGAAGTTGTGGTGAATTCAGGGGGTTCCTTCAGAGCATCTGCAGAACTTTCAGCTGCCATTTGGCTCATCTCTAACTAATTAGAATCTTCAGCAAGACAATTTCTTGCCAGTTTCCAATTTTTTGAATTACATGACAGCCAGGCTTGTTAGTTGACAAGGTCAACAATGGCCAGCTGATGGAGACTGGATATGTATTGTATCTGATTATGAGCATGCAACTTGTGTTAGAAAATTTTAGTGAAATTCATGACCATATGATATTCTAAATAATTTAACGTTTCTCTCAATAAATATAGGACAAATTGTTACTTAGGAAAAGTCTTTACATAATACATCGGTTTGGGGTTCTTTAACCTTTAAGGCAAATGCAACGCGTTATTTCCACGTTCCCAAGTAATTGTATACTTTTTCCCCCCGCCCCCTTCCCCAAAAAATTGACCAAGATTTTTCTCCTCCTATTTTACTGTCTTCTATGTTCCATTCAACAGGTTTACTGTCTGTTTGAAGATAGTTTTGATAATCTGTTGAATTGGTGTACTGTTTTTTTTTTTTTAATGTGTTTTCCCTTTTTATGTTTCTCTAATACACAAAAAATATGCTGTCCTTGTTAAGTAGCTGTCTTTATTTATTGCGGATTTGAAATGGATAGGAAAGTGAGCCCAAGGGACAGGAGAGTTGCATAAAACAAATCACATGCAGCAGTAGATAATCCATATTTGTTGAATTAAACGCCGACTTGGTTTTTGTACTTTGCATAGTTGAATTTATTCTTGAAAACTTCATATTACGAAATAGATTAACTTTTTGTGTATTGACAGTGTAACGATTTTTTTACACTAATAGTTGTGAATGTATTCCACATATATTGAATTTCAAATTTGAATTCATATTATGTGCCATAATCTCATCCTATTAGTGTAAAAGAAAAAAAATTTCAACAAGGACAACACCTGATTAATTGTCCAAGCTCAAAATTGAGTATCCCAATAAGCATGACAATAACCTTTGCAATTGTGAACAAGGATGATAATTGACAAATAAAGGACCAAAGATAGAACACAAGGAGCAACGTGCACACTCACTATCAAGTGGTTGAACTAATTATTAGATATTCCAATTGGCCTAGTTGGGCTGTCCTTAAAATAAGTTAGAGTAAAAGTAGGAGTAAAAGAAAGAAATAGAGTAGATGATGGCAATTGAAAAAAAAAAAAAAGCCTTTCTTATAGTAAACTTGCTTTGGTTGTCCCAAGTATACCACCAACCATCCCATTTTCTAACATGAACAGTTGTTCTTGCACCTTCTCTTTCACCTGCGAGAGCCACCATATGAAACAAAGCAATTGCTTGGTATAAAGTTCCAACAGGGAGTGGAAATCCTGCAAAGAAACAGTATTCTGGTATAGAGGACTCACATACCTGCAAAGACATGATAGGTTCCCATATCTGCTTTCTAAATGGTACATGCAATTTTCATCAATCAAAACTTGGAAATCCTGCCAAAAGGTAGTATTTGATGTTAAGTCCAAATTCTTAGCTTTTCAGGGTACTAAAACATGAGAAATAAGACTCAGACAACCTTAAACTGGGGAATGTTAATATACTTGGTAAATTACTAAGTTCACAGTGAGCTAGATTAAGAAAGAGGTTTTCTAATTCTACTTGACTTGAAGCATCCACCAATTTGTCTTCCCTTTGTTTAGGATCTGACATTATAACTGTCCACCGATACTGAACTTGCAATTAATCATTGATTCTTGTGCCTATTTTTCAGATCTCACTGTGGAGGACATGCATTTAGATTTATCGGGTTGCAGTGGTATTCATCATAGAAGACACTTGAAATTTCAATATCATGATCAATTTTATTTTTTTGATATGTTATATCATTGATTATTAGATCTATGTATCGGTGTCATATTCAATATATTTTAGTGCCATTAACACAGATATTAGACTGAAATTATCTTCTTTTTTTTTTTATCAAAAATAAGACAATTGCTCCACGCAAACTTTATCTATTCCTTCAGTGTAAGGAGATAAGGTGGAACAGTAGCACGATTTCTTGGCAAATTCCTGCATGTCAACAAGGGATTTACGCAACAGCAATCCCTCAAGTGGTGTTGTTGAAAGGAAATTAAAGTCAAAATGCAACTTGCAATTTCCTCCAGCAATCTTGATGCAGACACACTTACACACTTGTTGAAAATTTCAACAACGGTGAGCTGATGGAGATCGGATTTGTACGAAACAATGAGCATGAAATTGAACAGATATCATCCAATTCATTACTTGTACTTCACACATTAATAAATGATTTTGGTTGTGATTAGCCGAGTTCAAGACGGTACACGTTGAGCTAAAGCTCCAAGATTTGAGGGATTTAATAGCCCAGAGAGAAAAGGATACAGGAACTCGATAAAGTTCCTCCATGGGGGACACAAAATTAAACAAACCAATTGTGTCCTAACCGAGTCCGTAAATGCTTGTTTTATACTCGTACAATATGCAATCATATGCATAATTTAAAAAATTTTTATCTTTTATACATTTTAAAAATGCTTTGAAAAATAGTTGTACTTTTCAATAAACTTTATAAAATACATAATAAAATTTACTTCATGAATTATACTTCAATTTTTGAAAAAATTTAAAAATTCGAATAAGGTAAATGACTTATTTTCCTAATTATAAACTAAATAATAGCAACATATAATATAATTCTTGTAGATTTATACAAATAAAAGCACTAAGGTGAAAAAGTTTCAATACATTTAATGTCTTATATACAAAGAAAAGAGTTAAATTCGATATGTATCCAATAGTGATAGCATATATATTATTAGCGTATATAAGTTTAACCAATACTATTCACGTATGGATTGATATACGTGATGTCGCCGAGCACATACTTTTATACTGAACTTTTAAGGAAAAATCGCCAATTTAGTCCCTAAACTTTTTTTTTACATCGATTTAGTCCCTATATATTATTTATAACCAATTGAATCCCTAAACTTATATTTCGATTCCAATCAAGGATCTTAGCGGTGGCGCCACTGCATAATTTCCATTAGGTTCCTAATTGAACAACCCAAAAGGGGTATTTTATGAATTTCCATTATGACGCCTTTACCAATTAAAAATTAACCAAACAAGTCTACTGAGAAATACCCACCAAAAACCCAAAATGAAAACAAAAAAATTTCTTGGACAAAATCCAGGGCTTAAGTCGATGATCTGCTAAATAAAATCGAAGCAAATCGTGTTGAACTACTCCTAATCCAGACCCTCCCCGTACCAGAAAGAATTAGACCTTGGGGATTTTGTTTCTCATGATTCATGGTAATATGGAAACCTTTTTCCCGGTCAACTCCATGTTTCAAAACCATCAAGATCATGACCGCCTTCCTTCCAGCAATAATCCCTCTGCCCCTTGCGCGGCACATCGTGACTTCCCTGGTAGTATTTCATTAAAATTTTCTCAATCTTTCCTTTCTAATTACTAGTAGTTTGTTTTAATTTATGATTACTTTGGTGGTGGTGGTGGTGGTGGTGGTGGTGCAGCCATTTCTAGTGCCCTGATGAGGAGATCCATGTTGTTTTCTGGGGTTGACATGTCTGAAGAAGCGCTGCGTCTAGAAGATGACATGTCAGACGACGGCGCTGCGCCACTTGGGGAGAAGAAGAAGCGGCTCAACTTGGAGCAAGTGAAGGTGCTCGAGAAAAGTTTCGAGTTGGGTAGCAAGCTTGAGCCAGAGAGGAAAATGCAGCTAGCCAGGGCTCTGGAGTTGCAACCGAGGCAGGTCGCCATATGGTTCCAGAACAGGAGAGCTAGATGGAAGACTAAGCAAATGGAAAAAGACTATGAGGTTTTGAAGAGACAAGTCGAAATACTCAAGGCTGACAATGAACTCCTCAGGATGATGGTTTCTGAAATACTCAAGGTTTCTGAACTCAGGCATTAGAGTTGGAAAAGTGAAAGTAGCTTCTCCCTCAGGATGATGGTTTCTGAAATACTCAAGGCTGACAATGAACTCAGGCTGAAATACTCAAGGTTTCTGAACCATTTGATCCAATGATGGAGTTAACAATTCGATCGCTAGCTGAGCTGGAGCATGCTTTGTCCCAATTCTTTCTCGAATGCATTGAATTGCAGTGCTTTTTCTACGCGGGTCTGCAAAAATTGGCCAGATCTCTCTTTTTTCAAAGAACCGTAGGTCAAGTAATTGGGGTTTTCCATCGATTTACTCTTTTCGGTAAAGGCGCTAGAATGGAAGTCCCTAAAATACCCCTGTTGGGTTGCTTGATTAGGAACCTAATGGAAATTATGCGGTGGCGCCGCCGCTAAGATCCTTGGTTGGAACCGAAATATAAGTTTAGGGATCCAATTGGCTATAAATAATATATAGGGACTAAATCGACGGAAAAAAAAAGTTTAAGAACTAAATTGGCGATTTTCCCAACTTTTAATCATACTTATGAACTTATAATAGCTCATATTATACCCATTTCGTATTATTACTATGTATCGTAATTCCAACTTCCAAACCGCAAAGTTTGACCAGAATTCCTTTGGCAATTCCTCCAAATTCTGGCCGGACTTTGAGAGGGATTCATTCCCTGTTTTGCCAAAAATTTCTGCCTCAAATCCCTCCAACAATCCATCCAGAATTCTGACCGAATTCTTAGAGCAATTCGGTCCCTTTCTTTTTTGGTAAGTTTCTTCATTTTCTTGTTTTTATCACTCGAATCACCATTGAAACATATCATCTTTGTGAACTTTAGGACTTCAATAAACATAATGGAAGCTTATTTTTTTGTGCAAAATGAAGTCCATTTTCAACTCCTACAAAAACAACAAAAAACATGCAAGTAAAAGGGACAAAAATTTCATTTAAGCACTAAATAGCACTTAGAACTAATTCCAACCAAAATGGATCATTTTCTTCTTATAACATTAAAAAATGACTAATATAAAATGTTATTCAAATATAGCACAAAATAACCACTAATCAACTCCCCGACATATGAATCATTGTTTGTTCTTAAGCAATAAGAATTACAAATCAACGATGATTCAAAGGTTTGGAATAACATATGTCAAGTTCAATTCCTCAAAATCAAGTAAATAACCATTATGCAATTATTCATTTAATATCAAGTACTCATCATATTAAGTAAAAGAGAGCCAATTATACCATAATTTAAACATATCATCTCTACTTCTCATCCTCACCTAATTTCACAAGTCAAATAACTCACAAGGTCAATAAAAATGCTTCCTAAACCTATGATTATTTTTTTTCTCAAATTTAAAGAGGGATTTATTCATATAATATTTCTAAATAACAACTCGAGCTGTGAAGTTGCCTTTTGATGTGAGAATCAATATTTTTAGATAAAGATCTCCAATTACTTGACACTTCACATATTCTAATTGCTTTGCCTACTCCTAATTCAAGTACCATTTTATACAAAAACTCGATATTTTTAGATAAATACTCTCGATTACTAAGCACATGAACCATTAGAGTAACACTACAACTTTTATTCACTTTTGTTTGCTTTTTTTTTTTCTTTTTTATTTGAAAGCAAATACATATTCCCTCTTTGTAATTCATATAAAAATAATCATAGGCAAAGTATTGCACTTATTGACCAAGGTCATCACTAAAGTTTGTAAAATCAAGTAAAGATATGAAATTTCAATAAATATGCAAAAATAATTGGGCATAATTTTCTTCACTTTACACGATATACTTTCCTAAAATGCAAAAAAAAAAAAAAAATTTGAATCACGCAATAGCTATTTCCAAGTTAATTGAGGAATGAATTTCCTAGGGTACATATAAAGTTTCAACAAGTGGGAGAATCACAATGCTTAAACTTGAAACAAATTAGCCCTTTTAAATCAAAATAGCAAACATTTTTCGGCAATAGTGAAGTTTTGAAAAAATTTTGACAGAGTTTTCCCTTGTAATTGGACGACAATCCCTCGCCTAGCAATCCAATTTTTCAAGAAAATTTCTGCAAGACAAATTTTTCAAGCATAATTCTATTATTTTACAGGCATTAAAGTCAACAAAGATCATGATGCGGTTGAGCACGAGGCCCAAAGTGTACAAGTAGACCCTGTGAAGGTGCCCCAAGGCCCAGTGACACGAGGACGAGCTAAGAGATTCAAGGAGTCCCTCCAAGCCTTGGTACGTGCCATCCAAACCCAAGAGAAACCGGGCATTGAAGGAATTGAGTTGGAACATCCTTACACGACTACTAAAATGCTGCTTACAATTGAAGATGTAAGTGTTCAAGCTCCAAATGGCGGGCTGAGCCGCAGTAAGTACCCTCGCTGAGCCGTACGGGGGTCTCGCTGCCCGGTCAGCGAGTCGGGGGTCCAAGGGGGCGACGCGCCCCTAGCTTGGGGGCCCGGGGGCGCAGCGAAGCCCCCGGTGGGGGTTCGGGGGCAACGCCCCCGAAGCTTATGATGTATAGTTAGTTGGGCTAGCTTTCGGTCAAGTGAAGGCCCAAGGGGCTGGCCGAACTTTTCTTGTTATTTTTCCAATCTATTAGGTCTTAGTCACGGCTATAAGTAGCCTGAAGTCGCATGTTACATGGAGTTTTTGAGAGTATTGAATAAAATTTCCAGAATTTCGTCCATTCCTTGTGGCAAATTCCCTTAGCTTGTGAAAGCTAAGTTGAACATCCTAGAGCTGATCCTAGGCTATTCGTGACTTATCAATCAAGCACACATACTTGATTGTGGCGTCCTCTACCGTTAAATCTGTTCTTGAGTGGTCCAAGTTCGGGTTCAACTCCATCAAATCTTCATCGTGTTCCTCTAGATCCGAAATAGCTTCCGTCGCTCGCATCAGATCATCACAAGGCAACAAAAATTGCAAGTCACTACAAGAAAATTGTTCATCAGTGACAACACAAAGTCATCACAAAACATACAAATATCGTCACAAATACCTTTAATTGACGACTTTTTGATCGCCACAAAGTCGTCACTAAATCCCCGTCGGTAAAAGTAAACAGTGACGACCTAAAATGTCGTCACTAAATAGTTCTCATTAGTGACGACTTTAAGTAGAGTATTTTTGACAAAAGATCAAGTCGTCAATAAAACACTTCCAGATTGTCGTCACTAATGACAACTGTTTAGTGACGACCTGAAATGTCATCACTAAATAGTTGTCATTAGTGACGACAATCCGGAAGTGTTTTATTGACGAATTGACCTTTTGTCAAAAATGCTCTACTTAAGGTCGTCACTAAAAAGTACCGAAAGCCATTGTATATAACTATTTTACTGACAACAATTGTCGTCACAAATTTAGCTTAGATTTAGTGACGGTCTCTGTTGTGACAAGGAGATTTAGTGACGGTCTCTGTTGTGACAAGGAGTTTTTATTTTCTATTTTGTGACAACTTTTTTTTGTCATTAGATAATTTCTCAATAGCTTAATAGTCATAATTTGGCCTGTAATCATTGCTAAATCATTGATTTTAAACAAACCATACAAATAAACATGAACGATTGATAACCAAAAGTATTTGCATTAGATTACATGGTAATAATATAGCATTCTCAAATGCCAAATTCAAGTGTACATTATCCAACTAATGCCTACAAAAATAACATTTGTCCAAAATATCACTTGTACATAAGGTACATTTACAAAAGCAATCACAGTTTAAGAAATTGAAGAACATCTAAATGAACCACTCCATGACCAAAAGGCAATTTTATCTTCAACATTCTTCAACCATAACCATAGATATCTTCCAAAAGCTAGTATGAATAGCATTTATCTGTCATAAAAGAGTAAAAGAAGTAGGTAAGGGAAGGAGTACAATAATAAAGAACAAGTAATGAGACTTAGATTATTAAGACAAAAATTACAATTCATTAAGAATCTCATATAATTTGGACCCACATATTACAACACCAGCAAGAAGTTAGAAATCACAGTCCAATCTATACAAATACAACACTGCATAAGCTCAACTAAAGAGCTCTCTAAAACAGTTTTTATTTTCTTTCTTCTTCTTTAAATAGCTCAACTTATTGAACAATTAAATTGGACTCCCACAGTAATTATTGTTTAATCTTTATGCTTTTGGTTGTTTATATATTAAAACACAGAAAGCAACTTATTGTACGAGGTGTGAATACAGGAGGTAAAGCAACTTATTTATGAAGTTGACTTTTGACCCAAAAAAAAAGTATCATACATTCTGGAAATGTTGTATGTAATGTATTGCTAAAAAAACACCAAGATTCACCTTTGTTGGTCATGTAAGAACTAAAACATTCTAGAATTAACCAAAAAATTCTTGCTATTTTTTCAGAAGTCATTACCGAGAATGGTTTCATTAAATGGACTTCCACATCTTGCTACCTTTTGTAGCACCTAGTCATATTGGCATTTCACATCAATAGGCAAATTCATCAATTTAAAAGGTGTACTCACTAATAATTCTGCTAATTATAATGGGTCAGCGGCTCTAATTATGTACTGCAGTTCCTTGAAATGAGAGGCTTTGGACTTGAGATCTCTAGCTTAAATTCAAGGTATCACCACTCTGTCAGTTTCTCATCCCATCTTCATTAGGCCCAAACAATAAAAAGGTTCATAATGAGAGAACACAATGGTTCAGTTGAAGAATAGCTTCTATGATTAGGAAACCAAAGAGAGCTGAAATTTGATTTGACACGACATGTTGAAAATTCACTAGCAGCTAACAAAAGCCCAAACTCAACCATAACCCCTGATGCCTTTTCTGATTTTCAAGCAAAAACTCTAAAACAAATTAAAATACAATTTCAAGAGCCAAATTCAGTATGCCAAATTTATAAACCTATTTTTCAATTAAGAAAACTATGGATGGCCACTAGCAATCAACATGTTCCTATAGGAGGGAAAAGACAGAGTAAGAACAGGAGAGGCAGAAGGCGGAAAGGAAGGTGGGCGAGAAAAGCATCAAAAGGAACAGATATCAGGCAATAAGAAAATGGAATCTGGGATATGCCTTTGGTTTGGGCAGTATAAATAGAGATAACCCTAGTGGGGGAATCAAAATGTTAGTGCCCAGTTTATGAATAAATCCCATAGATTGGGCCAATGAAAGCCTTAGATCTATTTCCAGAAGCCTTGCAAACACCATCAATCACTATCAGTCTATCACTCTTTTTGCCCATGCCTTAGTTCCAGACCCCCTGACAAGCAACTA